TTGAGTCATCTTGAAATTTCTTGCTTTCTTTAGACACCCGCTTCACTTTGAGGCCCTTCGAATTCCTCGTCGTAGTGGCAACAACTCTTTGCTGGCTCCCGGTGTATTTAAGGTATATATTGCCCTATGATGGAAAAAAAAGGATACATACAAAGTCATCAAGGCTCAATGAACTGAGTATTCTTAGACCTACCATATATCAGTTGTGCTCTCCTCCTTCTCCTCAACAAAATTTGGGGTTTATGCAAATCAGTGTCTTATTTTTCGTGAATCTGAAGACACTTCTTATCAATCTTAAACTGACTTCCTCACTGTAGTAGACCGCTCAAAGCAATAAACAGTTGTAGCTAGTAATGATTTGATTATGATGTCGCCTTAAAATTATTCCTCTACATAACACGCGTGGTTTGTGGCGTTATGATGCGTGTGCGTGATTCGTTAACACAAGCTCGAGCTTCTAGCCTTTTTGTGGCTTTTCAGTCGACATGACTGAGATTTTTGAGGTAATGCCATGGTCGCAATTCTTCTCCCTTTTAGGTTACGCAACAGATAGCAATTGTGAAAGTACACATCAATTGCATCGGTAGAGTTTTAAGAGTAAAATGCTGTAATTAGGTTGACTCTGATCGTCTGCCTACCTCTCTATTGTTTGGGACAGTAACATTTTTCCATGTCATTGCAGGGTACGTACAGCAGTCATGGAGTGGAACTTGTAATGATTTCTTTTACCGACCAGAAAATGACAGGCACAAAGATAACGGTATGTAACTCGAGGAGCACAAATGGAGATTGCTTGTTTAATCTTTTTTAAAATCCTGCCTTTTAGAGCGGCCTATTTGCCGTCTCTTAGTCGGAATTAAATGTGTCCATTAACCCTTTCACTGCTTTGGGAGGTTTGTAAGGTGACTCAAACTTTTGAGTCTGCGGACCAAATCCTATGATGTGACCATTCAAATGAAAGCTCTCTGCTTGTACTTACACATGGTGCCATTTGTTTTTCAAAATTTTAGAAAATGAAATTTGGAAATCTGTTCGAAATTTACCTTTGGCGATATTTGGAAGTAAAACGCTTAAGAAACTGTTGCGTGGCAAAACAGCACGACGCCACCACTTGCTCCCCCGCGAAATAACGTCTGAGAAGCGAGCGCAGAAATTCCATACTAAGACTTGGCATTACCCAGATTAGCCTGTGAAAACAGTCGTCTCTTCTCGCTCCTCGCCGTTTAGGACGTCTGAGCCAAAGCGACAGAAATTCCATACTGATGATTTAAAAGCTGTCCGGAGTCTGGTCAGGAACTCTGACTGGTCGACGTAGTAGTTATATTGTTACGAACGATAGCTAAAAGGCAGACAGTCACAAAGGTCACATATAGACGCGAGGAATCTACTACAAACAATCAATATTCGTGAAATATATTATTCTTCAGAGAAAGCATTTAATTTTGCTGGAGCTCGTTCGTAGAAGAGCTCAAAACTTTACCATGATCAACCATGAGAAACATGAAAAGGTCTAAAAAGTAACAAATTTACTTTTGGAACCCCATGACTACCGGATTAATTATGTCAACACTGATTTACGTCATCAGTATGGAATTTCCGTCGCTGATGCGTAGACGTCCCTCCTGGCGAAACGAGGAGCGAGAAGAGACGGCTGTTTTCGCAGGCTATACTCAGATCTAGGAAATGCCTCTGATTGGTCGTGCCGCGTGAAAAAATTGCCTCAACCAATCAGAAGCACTACCCAGATCTGGGTAGTTATACGTCATCATTATGGATTTTCTGCGTTCCATCCTCAGGCGTCATTTTGCGTGGCGAAATTTCGTCTGTTTTCTCAAGCTAGGTAAGAAGTAATTATGAAGCGTAGTTTCTACCTTACCTACTCGCCTTTTACAGGGAGACCCCAATGTGCCAGGAGGGGAGGTGACGTTTGATGTGGATCTTACAAAGCCGTTACCTGATGAAGCAGCAGCCAATAGTGGAGAGCCGAAAACGTTTAGTCTCCCTCAAGGTTATGAGGCCAGATATACAGACTTTCCCAGCCACTACAAGGCTAGGTAAGAGATTTTTTGTTTTAGGCATAGAATTTTCTTCTTGGGGGTGGGGCTTTGGCCCTGTTCCGGGGGTTGATCCTTCTTCCGGGGGGGGAGGTCTATTAAAATACACGGATATGTACCACCCTTTGGATTACTGACACTACGCTGACAAAGAAGCTGCTGTTTGCGAAATATAGGCGTCCATACAAACGGAACACTTGGATAAATATCGCTGAATTATTAAAGGGACTGGTTCACGATAATGCGCATGCGCGCCGTTTGTCTCTTCAGAATAAATTTGTTGGGTCAACACTAAATTCGAAATCGCCATTACCGGTACAATCATTGAAAATCCTTCGTTTTATTCGGACATCCGTCGCTTTGGCTGGTCTAGTTATACTTCGGTAGTGGTGATTAACGTGTGGTTGTGTCGTTTGACTGGTTACGTTTTAAGAAGACGCAAAAAATAATGTTTGATCATGGAGGTTGAGAAGAGCATCGTGGCCGTCCGGCAACAGGACGTTCTCAAGAGTCTCTGGAGATAGAGAAGCTTAGCCCATCGATCTGGTATGGTTCTAGGAGTAGTGTGTGGCATACGAAAAGAATACACGACACTTGGAAAGTGGTTAAAGGCATGAGTTCGTTCAACTTTGATTTGATTTTTGACTCCGACCTGTAGTTATACCGCAACAGGCCGCGCGATCTTCACCGATCTGGTACACTTGAAATGTTCCTTGTATCTTTGCTTTACGATCGTATATGTTTAAGAATTGATGTTTTTAAAATAAATTATTCCCTGAATATTCTGTTCATAATCTAGTTTCTTTATGTGTGCTACTCGATGACATTTGTTTTGCGGAACACTGACCCGATGCAACGCGAATGAATTTGTTCATTTGCTGATAAGCAATTGAAATTTATGCTCAATTAAGGATAATCTTTATAATCATACGTTGTGTGTTTTTGTCACCGGTCCGGCGCTATTTGTAGGTATTTCTGGGTTTATATAAGGCGAACTGAGAGAACAGTAATAAGATGTTTGTTTACAAATTTTGTTTGCCGATCGGTGACTGTTTTGTTAGCGTGGGTACGACCTCGTAAAAATACACGTTGGTAAATGTTTGTTTCAAAGCAGGACAGGGCTGTAAATCTTATTCTTATCGGCTGCAACATATATCTGAGGAGTAGCAAAGAATAAAATTGAATTATGGGGATAAATAAAATCAAACCAAATGCCCGGAAATACTCTCGCGTCGCGAACAATTAATTTGAATTTTGTAAATTTACTTGCGTGCATCTAACTCGCTTCCGATTGGTTGAAAAACAATCAGCTACTGTCAGAACTCACACATGCGCATTATCGTGAACCAGTCCCTTTAAATGTCTCCATTGATCAGGCAAAGAGGTCTACACAAGATTCGCTGCACTGGTCGACCGTGTATTCGCCCGTTCAACTCCATGGTAATAGGTTTACCGTCTGGGGGATTTTAACTGTACGGTACTTTAATGTGATTAGAACGTTCCATATGCGAGGTTTTTTCTAAAACAGGGGTATAATATAACCTCTCCTTATCGACACCTGTAATACGAAGGTTTCACAGTGCGCAAAAGCTTTACAATATCCACAGAGTTAAATTGGTTCGGAATTAATGTCAATGAAACATTCTCCTTAAACAGGGTCCTATTTCTGTTTTGTAAATGTCGACCAGAAAATCACCCAAGTACCCTCCCCTCTGTTGTCATGGAAACCTCGGGGTCTGATAGAAGCAAAAACCAGAATCTACGAGACTAACGAAAACATTCTGCTTCATGTTGTATTTCTCTCTATTCGGGTGTATTAATACTGTCATTTATCTCTAAGCTGCACAACCCTGAAACTAGCCTTTTTTTACCTGAGCTCTTGTTTTGTTTTTGTTTGTTTGTTTGTTTGTTTTTTTTTTTGCTGAAAGAGGTAAGGCAACGGTTACGGTATTACGTTATGACGTTACGCGCCAAACGATCTCTAATAGTTTCAGTAAACCGTGGAGACTAGCTCATACAAGAATTAAAAACTAGTAGTTCATTATTTTCATCTAACAACGTTTTGGATACTTGGCATCTAACTGTTGTCGACAGTCTTGGTCCAATTCGCTCGCGTCCAACTTTCTTTTTCTCAACAATGGAAACCATTCAGTGGCGTGCATCGTCCTGTATATTCTCCCAACGGTTACTGTCTAACATCTGAATTATTTTGGAAGATAAGATTTTGATTTAGGATTAAGATTATTTTAGGACATTCGTACCATTGTCACGGTAAGACCAACAGAGTAGAACTTGAATCCAATTGAATTTGTACCTAGAGATAAACCCTTTGACGTGCTCTCGAGATTATTACGTCCCTAGTGGTTCTTTTCGTCCCACAAGACCCAAATCAGTTTCAAGGATCCTTTCCGAGAAGAATAAAGTCTGTAACCAGCTGCAGATGTAAAGCAGATAGCATATGCTTTGTCAGGTATTTTTAGAACCTTAGTGCTGGTCCGGCTGCCGGCACTTAAACCCAAGCCTCTGAAGCCTGATACCTAATCAACTGAGTCAACTGAGCTAACCAGTCAGTGGTTATAGAAATGAATCCTGTGCTAATCGCAGTACAGTTGTTTTCTCCTCTCCCCTATTTTCCTGTTTTCTTCTCCGTTACATTGGGTTTTTTTTCGGTTGGTCCACATCTCATCATGGCACAATCATTTCCCGCGGTTTTTGTGATATATTTTACGTGCGTTTTTAACATATTTATCTCCTGTTTAACCTGTCTGTAGATTTCACAGCGTCGGACAGATCGCTAGCCATGGGTTTGTGTCTCCTCAGTGGACTCCTGCGCACTTTGTTTTGTTTAACGATGACTTGTTTGGTTTCCTATGGATTGAATTGATGGCGTTCAGTGTCTATAGTCGAGTGACTGAGCCTTTCCTGAAATGAAGCTGATAAAAAACGTGCTCGACACGGCGCCGCTTTTTACAAGGCTCCTAAAAATTGGTTTATAGAATCCATTCTCGACGCCTTGCCAGCTCTTAAAATACTCTGTCATTTGTTTAAGTTCTTGAATGTCAATGAGTTTTTATTGTATTTTTTTTAGATTTACACACTTCAGGTATTAACCATAATTTCTCCAATAACCACTACCCACCAACCCCCTCGTTTCCCTACTGAACAGTCAAACTTGATACGTCCCGCTTTCTAAAACCACCATTTCGACCGGAACACAACAATCGCTTAATGTAAACACGATTCTTAGGAGAAGAAAACCCTTAAATTGATGGTCGTTGGTTATCGTTCTGTAGATTTAACAAGCTGAAAGGGTGGGTGAAAGATAACTGACCGATAAAAGGAACATGTATAATCATAGATTATCGGATACCCTGAAGTAGTTAAATGTATGTTAATATGTTAATGTTAAATGTATGTTAGTATGTTAATATGTTACCAAGGGTTGTCACTCCAGTTTTAAGTAAGCTCCATCTTAGACGTAGTTGGAAATATCCCCCCCCCCCCCAACACCCCCAAGGGAGGCTCTACTCCGAAAGTTACATTGATGATTGATCAGTTAGAGACGCTAATGTCGGAAAAATTTTTTTCTCCCGGAAAATAGGAGGCCACTTAAAATGAATTATTTAATTGTTATTGAGCGTTAAATCCTGTCATCAAACATTGCTGTGTTCTCGCACTATTAAGCCTCTCTTACGTGTAATTTCAGTGATTCTGTTACCTCTGCGTCCAGAGTCCCTGAGGCATAAAAATCTTTAAAGACGCAAAATAATTCGTGGCATGTGTTCCTTAGGACGCGAAGGTCGATCGATCGATCTGAGGATGTTTTTGTAGAATATCCTAATCGTGTAATTTCTGTGACTGTTCTTGTGGCTACTTTTTAACAACGAAATTTTTTAGTCTTTGTTATGCTTTACAATAGAAGGAGGGTATTTTTACTTTAGTATACTGTAATACAGAGTTTTGAGTCAGATGAACTGTCTGGTTACATCAAGGCCCAATTCAGGATTCTTTGTTTTTTGAATTAGGACTCATTTGTTCTGGACTGGCACTCATGTTTTTTCACAAGATGAGTCCAAGGACTCACCATAACTATTTGTGCCAAAATCACTGGTATTTTTTGTTCTTTCTCTGAAATCAGCCTATTATATCTTAGCAAATTTAGGCAAGTAGGGCCCTTTCTTTCGTGAGCGGATCACCGTTCTCTTGTGAAAAAGAGTGAAAAAGCTGATTGGAGGAGTCAATATTATAAATTTTAATTTAATTTGCAGTGGACAAAGTTTTTATTTTAAGTTCAACGCATTACATATGTAAATACAATTGTCTTTCATGAATAAAGCAGCCGGTACAGGTGAATGTTGAAATCACTCCCTCCTTCCTCGTGCACTCGTCGCATTTCTCCCGTGCCCGAAACCCCTTTCCCTTTCCTTTCAATTGCCTGCCACCAAGGCTAGACATCATTGAATAAGCAGTTTGTTGCCTAGCTGCCCTGGCAGTATTTCTCAGCATCAGTCAAATCAGTAATCAAATTCATGATACCTTGAAATTGACATAGTCATAACATACACACACTAGTCTTGGAAGTAGATCATGATTTTGTTTTCTCAAGAGTGATGTGCATGTTTCTCTGAATAAAAGTAAAGTGCAAGCCTGGTGGATGTTATGAAATTCTTCTTCTACACTAAACTATTCTTGCAATTCTCCCAAAAATCATTAATCATTTTTCATAGAGGATGGTTGGTTTCAAAATGAACAGGGCTTAACTGTATAATCAAATTTATCGTTTAATTAAATGCCCGTAATTTTTATCCTGCTGATTTTATACCTGCGTAAAGGGAATTACATGTATGACTGCAATTTTATTATTTTTTTTTTACTCCTGTTACAAAAACAGACATTCCTACATCAGAGTACTCATCAACCTATTTATATACTAATTTCGAACATTTTATGTGCGCCTAATGCCATTGTTGGGAGGAGCCAGTCGCTGCTCCTCCGCTGTTTTGTGATTAGCTTGTGATTACAACAGTAACACTTCCCGTAACATGTCACACTCGTCTTTGCGAGGCTACATTTTCCCATGAAAACATGCTGGTTTCAATTCGGAAAAAGTATCACCAAACGTTGAGAGCAATAAAAAATTAGCGTAGAACAAGGTTTGTAGAAACACTGAAAACTATCTTCTACTTTCGACGGGCAATATAATGGAAATTATAGCTTCTTAAAAACCGGGTTCAAATTTCATGTTCTTACAGGGGGAATCTTCGTGCCCCACGTTTTAGATTAAAATGAAGAATAAAGATTTGTTTTTCTTCACAGAAAAAATCTAAACAAACATTAGCTTATGAAATTGAGAAAAACGATCTGAGGAAAGAACTATATATATTGAAAAACAAAGCATGTAACCTGCGAAATTTCTCGACCCTCGCCGCCATCTTGAGAATTTTGCATCCACAATGCATCGCAATCGTAGTGCGCACACCACCTGTATTCATGCGAGTTGCGAAAATTTACAAATGTTATGTTTACGTCACTACAGTTCACCTCCCTAGTGCTCCAGTGTTTGCTCAGTCACAGGGTTGCAACATATTTTTGTCTCTCTCTAGAAAGGATTTATGTCCGACCAGGCCACCGTCGGGCAATTCTAAATAAAGTTGTGTTTTTGAGCTATTTTGAAAAAATAGCTCATATGTCATTGGTGTGAGCGTATGTATCTTTGTGGCTTTGTATGTTGGGATGTTTGTTGCAAGAGCCAATAAGGTTGAACGTACTATTAGTTGATGCTTAGGAACCAATGAGATGTTGGCATCTATTTAAACATGGCATTGGTAAAGGTCGAACAAGGGCACTTTGATACCGCCATCTTGATTCTTCACAATTTTTTCGTCTTTTATTACGGCTACAGGTGTTAGGAAGAATTAGGGAAGGACATATGAAGACCTGTTTCGTTTTGTAACCAGTGCCTTAGAAAAGGCTCTTGTCTTTTAAGAAGCAATAGCTTTTAAAACATGAACAAATAAGTTGTCGGAGTTAAAGACTGTTTCACTGAGTAGAATCGCACGTGAAAACCTCGTGAATTATGTAAAGGTTATCGGCCTGAAGCGAGGGGTTATGTGATTTGCCCTCGGGCAACGCACGAGGGGAATAAATCACATAACCACGAGCTGAAGGCCGATAAACGGCTTATTGAGCTATTTTGAAAAAATAGCTCATATGTCAGTGGTGTGAGCGTATGTATCTTTGTAACTTTGTATGTTCGGATGTTTGTTGCAAGAGCCAATAAGGTTGAAGGTACTATGAGTTGATGCTTAGGAACCAATGAGATCTTGGCATCTACTTAAACATGACATTGCTAAAGAGCTCTAAAGGTCGAACAAGGGCACTTTGAGACCGCCATCTTGATTCTTGACAATTTTTTCGTCGTATATTACGACTACAGGTGTTTGGAAACATTATATTAAACATCTTCATGATTCAAACGCTGTGTACAGTGATGCAGCTGTTTAAGGGTTCATATTTTAGTGTGGATGCTATTTCAAGACATTTCTGACCGAATTCAGCTATCGCGAACGGTACTGACGCACGTATTTATGAGATTTGTTTCACCTGCTTCAAGGTAGAGTATAAAAGATCATACATTTTCAAAGCTCTTCCAGTGAAGCAATAATTGATATTTAGATATGGACTTTAATTTGAAAGTATGCGGCATATAAAATGTGGTTTTACAAGTTTGAAAGGCAGCTCATTTTTTTTAAAGATGCACCGAGTATTGTTAATCCTGTAAACAAGCTTTAACAATATTATTCTCTCGCTTACAAAGTTAATAAATGTTAGGCTATCAACCTTGACGTTGCATGAAACATAATTTAATTGCAGATGTTGTAATGAAGCCGAGGTGATTTCTTAAAATCGTTGAGAAAATTTTGTAGTAAACAATTTGCGTTTTTTTTACGTACGAATTGTAAAAGGGCCAAAGGCCAACATCTTCACGTGCAAATTGTGTGCATGAGTTATTTTTATAATTCTGTTTACTAGATTAACGTGTGATAACTCGAATTCCCTCACGTACGAACCACGAAAGGGGGCAAAGTCCAACACTTTCACGTGCCAGTTGTGTGACTGTACGTCTCATGCAGATTGGCTTTTTACAATAATAGTAACTTGGACGTACGAAGACCTGTTTCGTTTTGTAACCAATGCCTTAAAAAAGGCTCTTTTCTTTTAAGAAGCAATAGCTATTAAAACATGAAGAAATAAGTTGTTGGAGTTAAGGACTGTTTCGCTGAGTAGAATCGCACGTGAAAACCTCGTGAATTGTGATGATGCAACCATCTACCACAATGATCAGAATCCTGGTATTTCTTAACTACTCGAATTCGATGAGTCACATTTTGGCTTAAGAAACTCCGAGGAAACCGTAGAGTTTTCCTTCTAATCAACGTTTGGTGAGTAGATATTTATTTTACTTTAATAATTTGTTGAACTTGCACCAAATGTAACAGGGAAAGACAGAGGAAAGTGAATATATAGCATGAGGATCGACGCAGCTGAGCGTTTCGCGTTTTCATTTATGTACGGCAATACCCAATTTTGCACAAAAACCCAGTCTATATTTAGGACGAAAAAGGTAGATTCATCATTCTTGGTAAGGTTACACTGAAGCATTCAAAATAGCTCATGCACGTTTAACGTGCCTATGTTTTTTACATTGGCGAGGATTCCTCAAGGGATGCAAAAATACATTGACGAAAAATGCCTCTATTGTCCATCTTTCTTTTGTTTTTTAACACTCCATGCTGGCACTGGTGGCATTCACAAGTTCCTCGGCTTTTTAATTAGTTGTTCGCAGTGAATGCTAGAAACAGCCTAAAGAGTCAGAAGTAGAGCCGTTTATTACTCAGACTAAAGCAGCTTCGGTGTACTGCAATTGAGCTTTCGGAAAACAATTTTGAATCTTCATTTGCGGGTGCAGACAACGAGCAAGCAGTTGACAATTTCAATTTTCGCACCGACGATCTTTCGACCGACCTGCATGTTTAGAGACAAAGAAGATTGCTGGCGAGGGATCAGTACAAGGAAATTCAGTCGAGGAGTGAAGCAAGAATACCAGAAAACACGAAGAGGTCAACTAGATGTCTGCATGGAGTACGCGAGTTTAGGATGACTGGTTAAAGAACGTAACACCTTCAGCCTGACAGCGACACTTTCGTGGAACCGTAGAATATTAAAGACGCTGTTCAATTTCGGACTGTCGTTCTGGCTGTGGAAATCGATGAACCAATAACTAAGAAAATCCGTGAATGTGGCGTAAAAGAAACGCTGCTCAGTTTAATGTTAGTAATTATAGCGTCGTGTTTAATATTTCCGATAAACATTTGTGAATTTTTTCTTTATGAACAGCTAATTGAAATGCGAGGGGATTATGTATTAATATGCAAGGGGGATAAGTCACTTATTCCCCTTGCATATTAATACATAATCCCCTCGCATTTTAATTAGCTGTTCATTAGCCCCGCTCTTCCCGTCAAACAATCAAAGCCGCACCCAGCTTTTCAGACAGTTGATTCGGGGGTTACGTAATATATTCCCCCCGAAGAGAACAAAGGAATCCGAGCTTATAAGATGATGCAACCATCTACCACAATGATAAAAATCCTGGTATTTCGTAACCATTCAGTATTCGATGAGTCACATTTTGGCTTCAGAAGGAGGAAACCTTAGAGTTTTCCTTCTAATCAACGTTTGGTGAGTAGAAATTTATTTTAAATATTATTATTTTTCAATTTGTTTAACTTGCACCAGATGTAACAGGGAAAGACAGAGGAAAGTGAATATATAGGTTGAGGATCGACTCAGCTGAGCGTTTCGCGTTTTCATTTATGTAGCGCAATACCCAATTTCGCACAAAAACCAAATCTACATTTAGGATGAAAAAGGTAGATTCATCACTCTTAGTAAGGTTACACCGAAGTATTATAGTTACACTGAAGCATTCAAAATAGCTCATGCACGTTTAACGTGCCTGTGTTTCTGGTCATCGTGTTCGATCCCTGTAGTATTTTGTCGTACATTGAGAAATTTTATTGGGACGCCGTCCGATTGCCGACGATTACTGGCCATTACTTGTAGCTGTGCAGTCTTCAGATTTTCAAAGAAAGTTAGGCCCCATTTATATGGAGAAAGCCTGTCCAGGGTAGAAGGTTCACCCTCCCCTCCTAGCTGAGTCAACTTTTGCGATCGTTTTTATGAGAAAAACGTTGACCCCTTTGCCCGAGCCAACAGCACTCAAGCATGCTCTGATTGTCTAAAACAGGACCCTGACTGCCTCGCCTTGACCGAGTTAACCCGGCTGGGCGAGCCAAAGTGTTTATTTAAAAAAATGTTTGCCCAGCTAGGAGGTGACCAGGCTAGGCGGGACGTTATTACAGGGACTGTGTATGATAACCGATCAGTTGCTTCTACCCATAAACTGTTTAGTTCATGTTGTCCTTCAGCAGCATGATTAAAAATAAAACAACTGCTGGTTAAAAAATAATATTGGAATCCAACAGCAGTTTAAGGCCTCATTTGAACAATATTTTCTTTTTTAAACTGTTTTGTGTTTTATCAGCATTTAAAAACCAATGAATTTAATATAGATGCTCCAAAACACCTGATAATTTTGGTTACGAGCCTCCAGCCTGTAAAAAGCCAGCGTTTAAACGAATTAGCAGGGGGCTAAATAGAGCGATTACCAGATTTCAAGTGGGCTAACAGCAGAGGCGGATTCAGATCTTTAGATGGGGGGATCTCAAAAAATGGGAGTGGGCCCCCCGGACCCCTCCCCTGGATCCGCCACTGAACAGTCTACAGATAATTAAAGAATTCGTATTTTCTCACTTAACCACAATATACCCCGTAGCATGCAAAATCGTTGGTGGTGCAAATAGCTGGCACCCAGAAGGGCCTGCTCCAAATGCGATCCAACTTCCACACTGTGTACGTGGTGAGAAATCATTAAAGAGGATTACAATTCTTACTAAGATTGGAAAGCACACCGGATTAAACCCCTCTGTGTTGCAATATGGCTCCAACGACCCCTTGTTACCAAACAGCTTTCTCAACGTATTCCGACCAACCGATGTCGGGTGGAGAAGTTTCGTTTCCTCAGAGTCGAATCCAGTTTTTCCTCCTTCCACATTGAAGCTGGTCTTGTCAGTCCAGTATGTAGATGCGTAAATGAACGTTTGCTGCAATGCAAGCCACGATGATCAGCTGTACTATAGAAATGCGTCGGCATCCCATTTAACCCTTCCACTCGTCAGAGTGGCGGACTGAGTGACTAATTTCTTTTTGTCGAAAAATCTCAGCACAACAGACAGGTTTTTCACATAGGCACTGAGAACTGTTTTCATTTTTGGCTTAGTAAATAACTTGTCTGGAGGAAAAATAGTAAAAATGAGGAGTGAAAACAATAGAAATGAGCAGGTGGAAGAGGGGAAAAAATGAGGTGGAGGATGATGAGGGGAAACAATAGAAATGTGATGGTTGTGGTGGTGGAAGAAAAACTAACTTAAATGTGGTTTATAGTGTCACTATTCACGAAGCGGCGTTGAAATGAAAGGTGAGTGTGGCGTCGATGTGAGGTCGATATGGGGTTGGTGTGGGGTCAATGTAAGTTTGATAATGTGCAGGTGGAAGAGAAGGAAAAACAAATATAAATCTGGTGGTGGTGGTGGTGGGAAAGCATCAGAAATGTTGAGAAGCAAAAAAGGGAGGAAGAAAGTGAAAAAGTGTTTTTCGCCTCTGCCCTCATTAACATGCACGATGTGCGCGCTAAGAATCAGTGAGCCGGAACTGGAAATGAAAGCGGCTGCTTATGAGAACTTGCCTAATAATTACGGTACGACTCAGTGATTTTATGTCACGGTTGAGTTACCGCTTATTCCTTTCAGAAAATAATCATACTCTTATTTTAGTTCCGGTTCTGGCAAGCCTAGGCAAAGCTTTTGTTGTTAGGCGAAAGTACAGTTATTAACACGTGAAAAGACACGACCAGTACGTGACGTTATTTATCTTAGTGAGAATCCCCAGCATTTTATTCCTGAGATAAAGACAAAAGGCTTGACGTTATCGGCGTGAAATTAATGAGATTCCCATTCAAAAAAGAGGCCTAACTGGTGCACTTTATACTACTTTCAGAGCCTAACAGACAAGCTTTTGTAACAGGTCTAATGCACATGACATTTCTAAGGCTTCTAGACCTTTGATAAGTCCCTTTGGTACCGTCCCTAGAACTCCAATGAGAATCGGTATGATCTTCACTTCAGGACACTTTCTTAGTCGTTTAATTTCTCGTTTTGGGTCTTGGTAGTTTTCGCCTTCTCTTGTTACCTTCTCTTAACCCTGGTATCCAATGGGCGCGCATGTCTATTATCAGGCACGATCAGGACAACAAAGTCTGGTTTGTTATGGTCGATTTGTTGGTCATTCTCCATCTCACAAAATCCCACAAAATCTTGACCGCTTCAGATTAGTAATGGTAGCAGGACTGAGTGGAGTCCAATTCGGTCTGTAATCATACGAGTGATTAACGCAGTCGTCCGATTTGTTTAATCACGAGTATGGTTACAGACTGAATTGAACGACACGAAGTTCTGTTACCAATTAATCTTAATGATGTGAAGTATATATGAAATAATTCATTTTTTGAACTGCGGTTGTAGATGAAATTGAAGAATGATCATCGCAGTAAATTTCCCAACTTAAGCAATTGGAAAGAAGAAGCGTGAAAAAAATCAGGGGATTCGAACCCGTGACCTCCGCGTTACCGGTGCGTTGCTCCACCAACTGAGCTATGAAGCCACACATTGGGAGCGAGGTCAATTTACCGAGTTCATATCTCCGAAAGCGCGCGGGGGACGATGGGAATGCCCCACATGCTCTCTTTTTCTTTCTCCCCAGCCTCCCCACAACACAAAGAGGCCTCTACGGAGGAGAGAGTCATAACATGGATGTTCAATACCAAGTTAGGGTGTGCTCCTTTGGGATGATCCGGATCAGGATCAGTGATCGGTGATCACTCGAATCGTGGTAGGTCAAATGAACCGATGAATCCACTCGGGACAACGATTCGTCGGTTCATTAAATCTATCATGATCCCAGTGATGTCGTCAGTGATCCTGATTCGGATCATCCCAAAGGAACGCACCCTAAGTGTGACATTTCACATCCGCTAACATGTACGGAGGAACGATTTTCTCAGAACTAAAATTTCTTGGAGGCAGAGATAACCAAGTTTTTTACCTATGGTGCTCCGCTACAAGTATATCCTCTTAAGATCCATGCACTGTGCTAGCTGTGGGTCAAACTTTCAGGGTCGTGAATGGTTATTATTGTTATTATACTTACTTACAAATTTCACAACTTTCCCCGGTAAAACTCGGTGTGCATGAGCAGATGTAGTCATTTGCCAGTGGGATGCAGGAACCACCATTTCTGCAGGGGAAGCTCGCACATGGACTCTGAAATGAAAATTCCCATGTTTTGTAAATGTTTACATATACTTCAAAACTTTGGCAACCTAAATTAAAAGAACTTTTTTGCAAGTATGCTTCTTCACTTTCCCAGTACTGGCTGATCTGTTAAATATAGTTTAAGACTCAATTAAACGGGTTATTAAATTTGTTGTTGCAGTCAGTTCCCTTCCCGTGAAAATCGGAGCTAAAATCTTTTGCCAATCCATACATCATAAACGTGATTCAGGTGTTTCAAGAACCAGACCAACGTAAATGGTATCCAAAGTGAATGTCGGAGTTTTTTGGGGCACGATTCCAAAGAAACAGAATTTCATCAAATCCCTTTATTGCCAAGTTGATTGTACAATCGGACCAGCAGGTGGAAACGCCTCCTCTTTGAAACTTAGAACGACCTCTATTCAGCCGTTCGTTATGGGTATTTGCCCTCGATCTTTTCGTAGAGAAAAAGATGGCTAAACAATTTTTTTAAAAAAATCATTCCTACTTACCACGATGCTGTAGTGGTGGAAAGTCTGGTTTGGGTGAAACTTCTCAGATACACTGTACTTGTCTGTATTGAGAACCTCACACGTGAAATTTCCATCAGGTCGTGGATACGCACCAACATTAGTGGAAAAACAGCCATCGTTCTTTAGGCATTGTAGTAAACAATGTTTGCTAGTTTGCACCGAGATTTGTGTGACAGGTGGAACAAGAAGCGAGTGAAAGGGATTATCTTTGAAGTGTACAAACGTGGGGGTTTTGCTTGGGTCACGATTAATACTGGGAGCCACGATGTTGCTACAAGCGCCTTGATCAAAAATGTGAAAGCGAAAATAAAGGAAAATACTAACTGAAAAGATGACAAAACCATTCATGATCTTGTATTCAATGTCCTTCGCATACTTCACTAATACTTTTTGAGAAAAGTGTCATAAAATATTTAAACATTTTGCGCCCAGAATCAGGTGCTATACTTAAAAGTAAATGTAGATGTTGACACTGTGCCGTGATTTGTTTGTTTGTTTTTTTGCAAATCTTTAAATTATTGCAATATGATAGGGACCGAAATGTAAATTTTATATTTCGTTTAAACGACGCTGTGTTTTTTACACGCTTTGGGCCAAAAGAGAGAAGTAAAAAATTCGTAAATTAGTGTACTTCAACAGTAGTTTTTGAGCAACCGTCATAAATATTTAACACCTTGCGAACAGAATTAGGGACTATCGTTAAAAATAGATGTAGATGTTCACACTGTGCAATGAATGACTTTTAAATTGTTATTTCATGATAGGGAATAACATATAAAAAGAGCTCTTATACGTACTTAGGGATAAAGCTACATTTTATAGTTCGTTCAATGTACGTTGTATTTTGTACATGCTTTGGCCGCAGAAACGCGTTCTTTAGCCCGGAAAATGTTTGTGAACTGAAATGAAGTTGTATTGAAATGACCATTTATTTATTTATTCCAATAATAAACTGAAATATTTATATTAATTATTAACAGTTATCGAGTCGAAAACGGCGTTTAGAAATAAGTTTATAAACAGCATCATAACAATTCGCAAGTGAGTACAAAAACAACAAAAACTACGAGGCTTTTCTCCGATCCGTTCTTCAGTTTCCTCTGCTGCGGCCAACTTTCGAAGTAGTTGAACAAAAACAAAAACATAAAATCATACTGAATTCAATAAAGGGAAACTTCTGAAGTTACAAAAAAAAACGAAAAACAAGAAAGCTATTGCCGATAGCATTTAATGTTCTGGGCCCAGTTGTTCGAACGCCGGTTAGCGCTAACCCGGGGTTAAATTTTAACCCGGGTTTCTTTATCTTTTTATCAAAAGCACTTTCTCTGATAATTTTCTCTTTTCTTTTTAGAGTATCCAATTATCAAATTGTAGGCAAAGCGAATTAAACTGAATTTGCTTTTTAATCATATATCGCCCCTTGCCTGAACGTAAAAGTTGAATCGTGAGTCGGAAAGAAAAAGTTAATAACAAGCCGCGTAACCATTCTACTTTCTCATGAAGTATGCCTCAGTTTCTGTAAATGTTAAGTTAACGGCAGGATATAAAGGTATCTGAACTCAGTTTCCTGTGTCATATCTCATGATCTCAGCGCGAGCACTCAGGGAGCAGTGTGAGAGGGCTTGTGTGGTTGACTTGGTAAAGAAACGGCATTTTGTCAAAACCTACTTATTTAATAATAATTTGTCGCCAACTAGATTATAAAGTTATCAAAATAAAATTTACTTTTAGCGCCATTTTTTATAGTGTATAGAAAGTACTTTCCTATAATAATGTCATGTGTTCACTCTGACTAATCAGCTGCGATGACGTTATAAAAGCGCTCCGTTTAATCGTGGGGAGGTTTACAAACAAACTTGCAGCACGCTGTTGTAAATTATAATCATGATGTCGTTCACGATTTTGCAACGTATAGTTCTCTTTTGCCAGACCTTACCGTACAATACCTTTAATCTCAGAACAGGGCATCAACTATGTCCAGTTGTCTTAAGAAATAGTTATTTCCGGATTTCCCCAGGGCTCAACATTGGGGCCACGTTTGTTCCAATAAGAAACTAACGATTTGCCTGACAGCCTCACATCAACCATTCACGCATGTATGCGGATGATAGTCAAATCTTTGCTTTCTCTTACGATGCCAACGAACTTATAAAACTCAGCTCTGATCTCGCTCAACTCCGCAAGTGGCTCATAGAGAACAGACTTTAATTACACCCCTCTAAATCAAAACGTTTGTTCATTGGTTCCTTCTGTAATCCGAATAATAAGACAACTGGCCATTGTTGTAAATAATTAACCTGTATCACGAACCAGTAAGTGCCTCGAAGCTCAGGGAGATGAAAAACGTAGATGGGACTGACATGTCGATATGATCTCCAACAAGGTTAGTGCGGGTGTATGAGCCTTGAGGCGTATCAAGAATGTTGTTCCCGTAGCTTGTCTGCAAAAAGTTTATAAGGGCCAAGTACAGGCTTTTTTAATACTGTTCCCTTTTTTGGGACACTTGCGGCAAATTATTGAAAGATACCGTAAAATTCTGAAAATAAGCCCCTCTATTTATAAGCCCTTCCAAATATAAGCCTCCCAAACCGGTAACGTAAAAAACCCTCCGTTAAATCGCCCTTCCAAATATAAGCCCTCCGGGGGCTTGTTATTCGAAAATTGCCCTCAAATACAAACTAAAACAAAGCAAAAACGGTAATAAATGTACTTCCAACTATAAAGCTAGCTTAATCGATTTTGAGACACAAATTTCCCTCCGTAGATAAGCCCCTCCAAAAATAAGCGATGTATCCAAATTAAGTAGAATCTAGAGTTTTTGATTTTTGAAACAGGTAATGAGATCAACTCTGTAGCCTAACAACTAACGTGAAAACTCATTAAAAACGTATACACGTATGCTCTTGAACAATCTTTTATTTCTCCTTGGACAACATGCCTAGTTCATTTGTCAGACAAGTCGGCGAGCTTGTGTTTTTTGTAGTTTTCGAGTTTTAAACTGATGTATTTGTCATTTCCAGTGTCATCTGTAACTTTCAGAGGCTTGAAAGGATTCCCAAGAGCCTTAGTACAGCCTTTGCGGCACCAGCGCTCGGATGGATTTGTCCAATGAAACCTGCCAAAAACACGTACTGCTCTGTAGTACCAACGCGCAAAGAATTTACACCGTTTGTACTTTGTTGGCCAGGAGAACCAGCGTTTCTTGGAGCCGTACTTTTTCTCACATAGCCTGTCCATATCGCTTTTGAATCTTTTGTCACACTGATATTGAGTCCAACCAAAGCGCTGACCCTGTGGGGACGTGATGTTAAAACAAAGGATATGTTTAGTCACTGCAAATAGATGCTAGTTTTCTTGATACATGCAGCGATGATTGATGATAATAATAATAATAATAATAATAATAATAATAATAATAATAATAATAGTAATAATTTTAAATGACGATACGATCGTCGCAGTGGTAATTGCAATTTAAGCAAATGCAAATAAACCCGAACATAATTTCGGGACTTCAACGGAATTCTAACCCATGGCCTCTGCGTTAGCGCTGCAGTGCTCTACCATCTGAGCTATGAAGGTCCATACATTAAGAGGAGGCCAATTTGTTGAGTTCATTTTAACCCGTGAAAGGAATGAAACATGAAGATGATGTGAACTGCGGAAAAACAGATTTTTATCTGTACATGATAACTCTTCCGATTTCATACGAAAACCGAATCAATTGAATGACTGCTTCATTATTCATTCAAAATATTTTCAGCTACAACAAATGGCTTACTTCGATCTAAGTCAAGTTTCCGTCTCATTCATTACCATTTGCCTGTTCCTAGGCAGTGTCAGTCGTGAAAGTTTTTTTTTTGTCTGGCAGGCACGTTTCAAATAGCATTTGTCATCCACCGGTTATTATTTTTGCGTTTATTGCTGTGTTATTAAGCGGTAGTGCGGCTATTTCTTAATCGCATAGCGTGTAAAATCCTTTGCCATTTTCTTCAGTTCTACCAAACAACTGAATTACCCATCTTCTGCCCCAAGGATTCTGCTCGTCCTTTTCCAGTCGATATCAGTGCAATTGACGTCAATTGTCTGGATATCGACAAACTTCCACATTTGGTCAACCCTAGCCGATTATGAAGAAGTCGCCGCGGAACTAAGCCAATCAAAAATGGAGAAATGTTTTGACTTTTGGTTTTGAATGAACAGTAAAAGTTGTTAGAGAGTGTTTTCACAAGACGTCACGGCGGCCATATTGGTGTCCCAAAACAGTGAAACGGCGGCCATGTTGGTGTCCCAAACTAATCCTGTGTGAGTTGGACTCTTTTCTTATGCAAAAACTTTCTTTTGTTCCAATAAATTTGCATAGATGATGGCCACGTGAGTGAAAACACTCTATGTGTGCATAAAATCTCTCAACGCGCCATGAATTTACGAGGTCTTTGTCTCCCTTGGCCCTGATTGTTTGGTTAGAAGGATGGATGATGTCATTCCATCACGATATGTCGCTTTTCGAATAATCAAGAAAAATGCGAAAACGTAATAAAGATTAAATGTGTGGGCGGCTACGGTAGGAGGAGGGTTGATGCATGGCGCCAGGGAGTATATACTCTCTTGTTTAGCCTAGACGAGTACGTGCCATTCTTGGTGCCACTGAACAGAACAGGATGCTTTTTTGGACCGGAATCCTTTTAAAAAGTGTGAAGGTTGGCTTTGAGCGGTCTACACTTGTGGTGCGAACAATTTTTTCCAAAAAATCTATTTATTTATTTATTTATTTTTATTTTATTTTATTTTATTTGCCACACTAATTACAAAAAATATAGGAAAAGAAGAAAAAAAAAAAGAAGTGGCGAGGAGACCTAACAGAAACTATAGGAGCTTATGAGAGGTTGGGCCTCCTCGAACTATGAGCTAGAGCTGTTTCACGTCAATTGAAGAGAAGAAGGCGAAAAGTCGAAGATGGAAAGATTTATAAACTGTTTTCATACTTACTCAATCATTTAATCTTCAGTTTTTTCTTAAAAGAGGAGAGGGATTGAGAGTTGATGATCTTGTTGTCAAGTGAATTAAAAAACTTAGGCCCTTGAAAAAAGGGCGAGAACTTCTTCGTGTTTGTACGACAATACGGTAGACGGTAGGCCACTTCTCGAGTGATCAAAAAATGTGTTTGCGAAAATGTTATCTAGCAATGTTGCGGTGTGAGAAGTTATTCGGGTGGGACGTGTTATCATGGGAAAAAACATATACGAGTGCAATCCATCAAGGAATTCGCCAGTGTTTTGGTGATGTTGAAAGTTAATTAAATTCAAATTGAAATCACCCATAATAAAACATATTTTGTTCTCTCTAGAGATTTTCGCTAACAGATCATTGTGTTTTGACACAAAGTCACCAACTCTCTGATTAGGTGGCCTGTAAATAACGCCACCGATAATATTTTTCCCATGGGGTCTTGATATTTCAATAAACAAAGATTCTGCAACATCAATATCGTCAAAACTCAAGTCAGCGCGAATTTTAAAATCGAGATTGTCAGAAATATATAAGCCAACACCACCACCAGTTCTATTTGGGCGATGTTTGTGAATAAAATTGAAACCATCTATGTCTACTGAATGGGAATAATCATTTAGCCAAGTCTCAGAAACGCCAATTAAAGAGAACTTAATATTCAAGCATGTCAAAAGAATAGAAAGGCTGTTTAGATTACGTTGAAGACTACGAAAATTTAGGTGTTGGAGCGAAAAATCTTCATCACATAAATTATCATTTCTCAACATTTCATTAAATTTGTCTTCAATGTAGTAATCACAGTGGACGTCGTCTGTGCAGAAATTAACATCAGGATCTATATCGTCAGAACGAGTTAGGGAAAGATTGTGAGTTGAAAATAAAGGATCGTAATTTATTTCCATGATGTAAGTTAAAAATGACTTAATTCTGTATGCAAAACAAAATTAATGAGAGGCATACAATAAGGTCTCTTGTCTTAAACAGGGTAGCAAAGTAAACCATTTTCGTCTTAGAAAGGGTCAGTCGTTGGGCGCCCCTGAGGGGTCAGGACTTAAAGGCCTCGGCGGCACACCTCTACCCAAACTTCCTTTGTGTACCCCCTCTCAGGGTTAGTGGACTCAGTCTAATTTTAGATTCTTACACAGGCGTAGCAAACATCGTGCTTCACGCAAGCAGGGGTGAAAGTCTTCTTGTAGAAGAACGGAAGGCCACCAGGTACACTACAGCCATTGTGTTTTATGGGACATTTTTTCTTTGACATCACTGTGTGAGTTAGAGAAAACAACAGCATCGAGCCAACCGTGAGCACTGTAATCTTCCTCATTACAGAATTCTGTAGAAAGAGAAACATGGCCGTATCTCGGTTTATTTCACTTTAATTTCGATTATCACGAACCCGGTTTTAACGTTTAGCTATTTACTTTTCTTGCATTTTAGTAAGCTTATTCTTTTAGTTATGTCCTATTATTATTTTATTTTATGGGGTTAGTAAACAGCTCACACTCTTGTCACTCATTCACAAGAGTACCTGTCGTCGATCTTTTGTTTCTGTTTTTTTTTTTTGGCCTTTGACGTGCATTCTTTTTCCTTTTTACGTGACCAATACGGGACTCGGTGTTTTAATTTTCTTCAGCTCTGCCACCTATATGTCAACTCTGGCGTACATTGTAAGTTTTATACCTTGCACTTTTCTTGGTAGACTTGAAAGGGATGGCTTCGAGTTGTGGCTCAACTCCCACAACCATCAATTTTTTAGGGACGACTGAATCTGTAGAAAATCGGTAATCCTGTTTTTAGTAGGGAGGCGGGCGGGGTTCAATTTCCTCGCAAAGGTGGCGGGGCACGGTGGCTCCGTTTACATATCCCCCAGCTCACTTTTTGGCGGTATTTAATGATTTTTCCTTATAGTTTCCCTTTTTTTGTTTTTCTTCTTGTGTTTGCTTTCGGTCTCCTCCGTTTTCCGTCGCCTTACCCCCTTTTGTTGGCATGACATTCGAGCATTGAACTACGCTCCTTAGACCCGGAAATAAAAATGGGGAAATTGCGAAAAGAAGATGCAATACGCTTAAAACTAATAATGGCCAAAAAGCATGGTCAGGTAAAAGAAAAACTGCAGGTTAGAAGACCAACAAAATAGGAAGGCTAACTTCTCAAAGGATTCGAACTCCTCCTCTATACTAATATAACACTAGAAATATTGTACACATTTCAAAAAGACCATATAAGAATACACAACCGGCAAAATGAAACCGCACTCACTTGAACTGACTTTGTCCTGGTTTCGAGAGTTGTGAGGGCTGTGCTGGTTGCGGAAGTTGTAAAGGTTACTGCTGCAGGTTGTGGGAGGTTGTGCTGGTTGTGGGAGGTCCTGAGGGTTGTGCTAGCCGTGCTCAATTGTTGGTGGGGGTTGTGAGGGTTACGCTGGAGGTGTGAGTTGTGCTGTGATTTATTCACTTATTTTGGAGGGACTTTAGGGTTTCGTTATTTGTACTACAAAATGGTTTTTATAACAGTCATTGAAATGCGAGGCATATTGTTTGTGTGTTTAAAAAGTAAAACAACACTGCACCTCTGTACTTTTCCTGACAGAAAAATAGTATTGATGCGCCTTAAATTTGCTGGTTGTGGGAGTGTCGCAACTAGGAGCAATTGAAAAGAAATTTGAAAACTTTCTAATTATTAATGACAGGCAGATTTACATGGGGAGGTGATAATATTAGTAAATTCCCTTTTTAACTGTAATAAGAAATTACGATGCTACTGAGCTTTCGATTTAGCCGTTGATATATAACTTTTCCTAACATGACCTAGCTTTTGGCTATTAACAGTTGACTCCCTCATCTTATCCTTATTTGCATATGGTATAGACGTCTCGACAGGTGTCTGGGGAAGCTTGTCAAAAGTATTTCGGTTGAATTGACAACGTCTGCAAACCAGCCTACTGACATGGCTGTCTTCAAGATATCCAACTTAATTAAAGAAAACTATCAACGTCTGTTCAACAACATCACTATGTTGCCCCGAAAACGGTCGAGAATACTAAGAAACAGGGGGCACGAATTCCAACACCCCTAGATAAGAACTAAAACAGAGAAATTTTCGTTTATGGCAGATGTCTTGTGTAATCACATGGCATCGTTCCTTTTTATATATTTTTTAATATACTATCTTCTGGAAGAGTTTAAATTCTACTCAGTTTACTTATATTCCTGGCGGATTGTAAAGGCTCACGTCTGCCGAGTCTAATTTCAACCAAGACTGCTCATTCATTTGTCCGTCCGTCCGTCCGTTCATCCATCCATCCATCCATCCATCCATCCATCCATCCATCCATCTATCCATTCATTCATTCATCCATTTATTCTTTCGCCTATATTTCAATTATTTACTTAACCCAACCTTAAATGAAAGATGATCATCGCAGTTATATACGCAACTTTTGCAGTTGCGAACCAACGAAAAGAAAGCCTGAAAAAAAATCAGGCTTGTACGGGACTCGAACCCTTGAGCTTTGCGATACCGAACGTTCGAATCTAATCCCGTACAAGCCTTAATTTTAATTTTTTAGGCTTTCTTTTCGCAACTGCAAAAGTTGCGTATATAACTGCTAGGATCATCCTTCATTTAATTCTTCACTCCGCACTTCACATATATGATTTTCATATATTTATAACTTATTAACCCAACCTGTTAATAAACCTAAGTTTTCGTTTTTCACTTCCCACTAACTCAGTAGTACAGGTTTCACTTGACACAAAACCCTTTCTTGGTCCCCAGGCCTTATTATTCCACGCGGCCTATGTGTTCTGGGTTACGTGGGCGTTCGTCTCAGGTAAGTCACCGAAATGCATTGAACGAGAAGGCCAGGGAAGACGCCGTACAGGGAATAGGCAAACTAAACTCTCTGAGGTTCTGAAAGGCCTGAAAACAAGTGAACCGACAGGTCAGTGTGTAACCATGTTCGCAAGATCCTTTTGAAACGGCTAACTGGAGTTTGGAAAGTGTTTTTACAGAAAATTACTGTCATTTGACCAGAAAAGGCAGAACCGAGAGTTTTTGGGGGGTCCGACAAGCCTGAAAATCATGCTATAGTAGGAAAAGGCCTTTATGTCTAAACACGCCCTCCTTGGAAACCAGCAAGGTGTTGTTAGAGGTGACGCGTTTCTATTTTTTACTGACCTACCCAACTACCTACCTCCTAACCTACCTACCGAACTACCTACCTACCCACCCAGCCACCTTTCTACCTGTAGAAAAATATGAAACGGCAAACTGATCGTTACGGCAAGGCGATGAAGAAGTAAACAAAAGAAAAGTTTTATTTTAATTTTTCTTTTAGACCCTGAAGGTTTGTTTTCAAACCGAAATATTGGGCAATTTGTTTAAATATATATTTTTTTGTTTTATTCTTTTGTTTACTTCTTCATCGCCTTGCCGTGAGGATCAGTTTGCCGTTTCATATTTTTCTACAAGTTTAATTGTAGTGATCCACAACGGTCTACAACCGGGAGATCCGGCACCACTCATTGATTTGTTGCTGTGGACTTGCTGACATTTTATATATTTTGGAACCTTTCTACCTGCCTTCCGAACTACCTACCTACCCATCTAGCCACCTTTCTACCGACCTACCGAACTACTTATCTAACTACCTTTCCAACTACCTACCCATCTACCCTGCTAGCTACCTACTCATTTACCTACCTACCCTCTTATTTACCTCCCTACCTACCCACCCACCTATCTACCTACCCAGCTACCGACCTACCTACCTACCTACCTACCTATACCTACACCCACCTACCTTTTTAACTACCTACCTACCTTCATACCTACCTACCCACCCACGCGATTTCTGTAACGGAGCGAAGCCGCGCCATGCTGATCTCTAAAATGGAGGATGATTAACATTTCGGATGGGTATGGCGGTGTTTCTACTATAGCGGATAGCTTTTTGTGCCGGCACGAACAGCTATTCGGTATGTTATGAATATAGCGTAAGAAATAAGAACAACTGTATAATTGTCGTTAGCACAACATCTCAAGTAATAGGTCATTAAAATAAGCATATATTCTTGAACAATCTTTTATTTCGCCTTGGACTACGCGTGTTTTTCATTTGCCAGCTAAATTTTGCGATTGCTTTTTTACGATTTCATGCTGTAAGCTAATACAGTTGGCATTTCCAGTCTCATCTTAAATGTTCAGAGGCTTGAAAGGATTCCCAAGAGCCCTAGTACAGCCTTCGCTGCACCAGCGCTCGGATGGATCTGACCAGTAATACTTGCCAAACGTACGTACTGCTCTGTAGTACAAACGCGCAAAACCTTTACACCGTTGATACTTTGAAGGAAAGGAGAATAACCAGCGTTTCTTGGAGCCGTGCTCCTTTTTACATAGCCTATACATATCCCTTTCGAATCTACGGTCACACTGATTTTGAGTCCAACCAAAGCGCTGACCCTGTGGGAAAATGATTTTAAATCAAGGATGTGTTTAGTCACTGCAAAGAGATACAAATATTTATTAAGAATAATGAGAATAACAATAGCGGTATTAAACGATAACGATGATGAACAATTATTCGATTATCCGGGGCAATTAGGCCAATAGACCTATTTGGCTAACTCAATGTTGTACCCAATTCAAACCCTTTGGGAATAAAACTTTTTGTTTCAGGAATTTCCATACATTTAAATGTGAATGCCGCATTATAATGCAAATACAATACACAAAGAATCTTAACCCTGGGAGATTTGAATTGGGTACAACATTGAGTTAGCCGAATAGGTCTATGAGGAAATGTTTTGGATGAAAAATGTAGTGGCTTAGCGCGCCATCTTGAATTTAGCAAGTCTTTGTCCCTCTTTGTTCTGATTGTTCGCGTTAATGTTTTCTTGCTTATGTATTCCCTCTGCTTATATGTTTGGTTAAAAGGATGGATTATTTCGATCTAGATTTTCAGATAAATGGCTTTTCGAATAAATAGTTAAAACACGAAAACATGATAAAGATAACTGAGTGTTTACCATTTACAAAAAGTTTCCGGAAAGTCCAGTTGGAAAGAAAATAGAACACGACATTTTGCGTCGTTCCAGCGAAAAATTTCTGGAAGGAAGGGAGCGTCTAAAAATGTTTTCCTATTAGTATTTCTTTGGTAACTGGAACTTGTTTGTGCAAACGGTAAAAGCTATTCCGGGACAAAATGTACCAACCCTGAATTTTGCGTACGATTTGCCCAAATTTGGGAACCTGTGTTGACGTGTAAACAGTCCAGTTTCGAATTAAAAATTACCGCTGAATGCAAACATTAACGGCACATTTATACAGGGTTAGCCTCGACGTAAAGTAAAATATTCAGAAATTCCGACAAGTAAGTGTTTGAAATTTGAATACAGCTATTTCGAGAAAGGTTGTCGGAAAAACTGTGCACGTGACAATCCTGAAAGGTAATATGGGATATGATCAATGCACTGTTCCTGACACTATAGCTGTCGAATCTACTTTTGTTGCTTTCTTTTAGCACTCGCAAACATACGTCCATGGCGTCTCGTGCCATTCTTTGAAAATTCTTTGGAAAACAGTGAACTCAAAGTCACCCACAATACCTTTCGGGATTGTCGCGTGCACTTTTTCCGACAACCTTTCTTGAAATAGCTGTATACACAATAGACAGAGTAATAAACAGGTCTTTTTCTCGTTGGAATTTGTGAATATATTACTTCAGATAGAGGCTAAGCCTGTAAAAAAAATGCGTCTTCACTTCTTTAGTTCAGCGGTCATAGCGAACTCGAATGGACAACGACTGATTATGCAATTCTTACACAGGAGTAGCAAACGTCGTGCTTATCGCAAGCAGGGGTAAATGTCTTCTTGTAGAAGAACGGAAGCCGTCCAGGGACACTGCAGCCATTAGTTTTTATGGGACACCTTTCCTTTGACATCACTTGGAGGGTTATGGAAAACAACAGCATCGAGGCAAACATGAGCACTGTATTCTTCCACATTGCGGAGGTCTGTGGAAAGAGAAACATGTCCGTATTTCGATTCGTTTATTTCATTTTGATTTTGTTTCCTAAGAAACCGTTCTTCCTTGCCATAAATCACTGTGGGAATTATAGGCTGGTCGTTTTTTAAAAAAATATCGTTTTTATTAATGTCCCGTTTTTTCATGGCTTAACTTTGTAGTCAGCTTACTCTTTTGTCACTCATTTACAATAGTACGCGTTCTGACCTTGTGGTTTCTGATTTTTCTTGGATTTTACGTGCACTAATATTTGGGTTTAAGTCAGTTAATTTTTTTATAGTTCTGTCTTTAATTTGTAAACTCTGTCGTAAAGAATCGTAATTTTTTATACCTGGCACGTTCCTTGATAAAAGTGTTGTGCTTCGAGTTGTGACAAGAGGTCTAGCTGTGGGAAATTAGTAATCCTTTTGTTAGTAGGGAGGCGGAACTAAATTTCCTTGCAAAGTTAAAAGGGTGAGCCGTCCTGAGGGCCAGTTAGGGAGGTGTGCTATCCTATTATGGCGGTATTTAACCCTTTAAACCCTAAGATCAAAATTTGAATTCTCCTTTGTTGCCCCTATTCATTTCCTACAGAAGCAGTGGGGAGAAGTTGATAGTATATCAAGCAAATTCATCTTGTGTGATCATGTGCGTAATTCTCATGACCACTCTGTTGTGCAAAGCATCGATATTACAAGGAGAAATAGTTACCTTGCGCTCTTTTGTTAGCATAATGAGGACATTTGTGAATAGGAAGCCTGCGATCATGCCTTGCCTATATCTCTATTATGTCTTTCATGGGAAGAAGGGCTTGATACATTTATTTACAAGATCATAGACAAAAAAGCCAGAATTTTAAAAGTTCTTTATGACTGATTCAGACTCGACACAGTACTTCTGACACGCAGTCCTGTTCTGATTGACTGAACACTAGGTTTCGACGTCTCGTTCTTTTATGAACTCTCTTCTCAAAAAAATACTATAAAAATGATAATAATAATAATAATAATAATAATAATAACAATAATAATGCCTGATCGCCAGTAGTAAAAAGGGAATGCAATACACTTAATAAATGGATATAAAAGCAGACTCTCAGTCAAAGATAAAAAATATCGTCACCACGAAAAAAGTCAGCCACTTCAAGATTTTCTGCCGCCAAAAGGTCAACAAAACTAAGAATAAGGGGCACGAACTTCAACTCTAAGAACTGAAAAATTACGTGACAAGCATCCATTTGCAAAAATACTTCTCTTCAAACTCGAGTGATCTCATTGCGTCGTTCCTTATTTATGACGTATTCATTTTAAAATACCATCTTATTGTAGATTTTAGATTGTATTCACCTTACGATTGTAAAGGCGACATGTCTGCTAGGTCTAATTTTTTCAATAAAGACTTCAGTCATTCATTCATTAACCTCATGCTTCAATTATTTTCTTTGTAAAATCACTTGATTTAACTAGTTTTACGTGCTTCACTCCCCACTAAGTCAGTAGCACAGTTATTATTGACACTAAACCCTATGAGGCTCTGAAAGGCCCAAAAGGAGGTGAAACGAGAGGTCAGTATGTAAGCTATATTCGTCGCATTCGTTGGAAACATCTGACGTTTTTTTGAGAGTGTGCTTACAGAAAATCAGCCATTTAACTAGCGTCTGAAAATCATGCTGGAGTAGGCAGAGGAAAGGATTAGAAAAGAAGAACCAGAGGAAATGGAGAGAACATTAGAGGAGAAGAAGAGAAATAAGCAAGAATATTTGCCATATTCCTTGGTTTATGAAGGATACTTAAGGACAAAAATGGATGCAAAACTAGGAGTTGAGCGCAAAAACATTTTTTAAAAATTCAGCTACGTATATGACAATTATAACCCACAATCAAACTCACCAGTCTTCACGATTTAGGAGAAACTTTACCGGCGAACGTTTTCTCATGCAAACTGCAGCGATGGCGAACAAGAATGGAATTAGCAAAATTCCTGTCATCCGCTACTAATGGATTTGGATAGGAAGGTTTGAAAATAACCTGCTGTTGTTCACCTAGGCGTAAACCGGACCGTAAGCCTATAAATGTTATGAGCTATTACGCTGTAAGTTAATCCCGGCCAATTAGTGATCCACCTGTGGAACCTTTGGAAGTAATTAATGTTTTAAGCTCGGCCTTCCATACTAGGCTGGATGTATTCGAAAACTCAACTTTATTCTTACTATTAGGCCTTCAGTCCCTCTAGTGCGGATACATTGTCCACCGAAAATGGAACCTTCCAAAAACCGAGTTCCATAAAGTGGGTTAATTTGAAAACGCCGTCTTTCGTTTTATTGGACGGAATACGGTTGGACAAAACTTTTGAAAACGCGGAAGGCGTGAAAATCACGTGATATCTTTGGAAACTCGCCAGCGAAGGAGCGAAAGACGCGTTTCACTTGAAATTTACAGATCAGTGATGACGGATGGCGTTTTCAAATTTATCTGTTTAAGAATGGACACAAGTTCTGAGTGAAGCAATTAGAACTCAATAGCAGTAGTAGTAAAGAGTTGTTATAGAGTTTCCTAGTCCCTTCTTTATCAGTTTGTGAAAACAAAACGTGTTTACACAGCGATATTTAAAATTTCACTAGAACTGATAAGATTACAGTTATTGGTTGATGCATAATTTTTCCTAATTGTCATCGTGCATTCATATTGAAACTATATAAACCATCAACAATTTGATCTTTACTTTATTTATTATTATACTTACTGAGATACTCGCTGATATACTCTCTGAAAACAGTCGTGAATTTTTATACGCAACTGAGTTGTAGCCTATCAGAGGAGCGAACAATATATTTCTCACGTGAACAAAATTATACGGCCAATCAGAATCTCAAGTATGAGGATGTAGAGGATGTAGAGGAAAATGATACGTCCAATCAAAAACCACAGCGAACTTGATCTTGCACCACGTTTCCCGCCTTTTATAGGCAATTACACCTTTCTCGCATCGAAGTCATCAAAAAATGATTTTTTGAGTCCATAAAAGAGAGCTTTTCTCGCAGAGAATTTAACATCAGTCCGGAAATTGGAATAGTAATATAGATCGTTTTCATTGTCACGCAACAAAAAAATAAATTGGAAACTGTCCAGTGGAAGAAGCCAAGAAAATGAAATGTTATAAAATACTAATATATAGTCTCATGTCTTTGTGGCCCACAGTTTCTGAGTTATTTGCCGAAACGTTTCACGCACTCTTGTATAGCTTTGTATGGAGACGCCTAGCCTGTGCCAGGCTCTGAGATAGTATGGTGGGGACATATTAAATCGAGCAAAGCGAAAATAAGACGCGCGCGACTTGGGAAAGGGGGCGGTGGAGGCGGGAAATATGTCTCTCCCCAGCCCGCGCGCGTTTTTCGCATTTCCTCTTACTGAAGTACTTTTCACTCCTATCTTGGAGCCTGGAACAGGCTAGGAGACGCCATATTGGTGTTGTATTGGGGTACAGTTTTGGTGCGCAATATGGCCGCCCGAAATTAACTAAAAACATCTGGAGTTGACTTTTCCTATAAACGCTCTTTCTTTTCCCTCAAGAACTAGCATACGTGCGCACAAACATATTTTCTAACACTTGAAATAGCTATACTGCTGAAAATCAAGAGAGGAGACTTTTTTTCAACGAGACAGCATTCCTGTTTTGGTGTAACGCAATGTGAAAACTCGGAAGTTCAAATTGTTGTATTTTCGAAATGAAACATGCTACGGGAATGGAAACTTGTGCAAAGATATATTCTTTTGTTTATCTTTAACCTAGTGTAAATAAGAGTGCGTAAAACCTCGCTATTTTGACTTTACAATTTGATGCCGTCACTGTGAAAACCATCAATATATCTGTTTTTGCTTGTATCGCTTTCGAAACATTAAGACATTTTGTTGTCAACATATGGACGATATTTGTTTGGGAAGGGTATAAATTTCTCCAGCATCAACTAAGCATAGTTCTCCGACATAATTTCGGTATAATGCAACTATGATTTTCAGGGTGACGCTCATTCTCGTCCCTAGAGCAAAACCGATCAGTCAAGACCACGTGACTAAGAGAAACGACGGGCCCTGGGGACGAGAATGGGTGACGCTCAAAAGCATGATGCTTTTAATAATAATAATAATAATAATAATAATAATAATAATAATAATAATAATGTCCTTTCTTTACCCTCGGCAGTATTTATAGTACTAATGCTAGTGAGGCCGAGCAAATGCCTGAAACAGGGTTAAGAATCCCAACTGGCCGGAGGCGAACCAGTCGGCTATTTATTTACAAGCGTGGTCGAGGATTTGAACTCATGACCACAGAGAGCAAGAGCTCGGCGCAGGACTTGAACTCGGGGCCTCCGAATTGAAAGTCTAGCGCTCTAACCACTCGGCCACGCTGCCTCCTGGTTTGAATTTTCGAGCATAATGTATCGAACCCTAGTTTTTCTATGTAAAACGTAAGTACCCAAGGTACTCTATACTTGACCGATTGTGGGCATTCGAAAACAATTAGGGGCTGTCCACACTTGGAGCCCGGGAGCCAGTGCCTCGGTACCAGCACAAAACGGCATTGTGTTCACACCTTGAGTACCTAACATGTGACTGTGTACATAGTTACTCCATTTCGTCCTGTCAGATGCCATTTTGAAACATGAGCTTAGCAACAAGTACCACAGTTGACTGCCTCAGAATTAGCAAAAACTGTATGCACTAAGGGACCCGTCCACTTTTGTGCCCAACTACAAGGTCTCGACTTAAGTTCTTATGGAAAGTCGTTTATTTCAATCCAGGGTGTTGAGTTTTGTTATTTGTGCTTTCAACAAAGAAACAAAGACAACAGTTCTGTAACAACAAAAAGAAAACTCACTATCTTTTGAATCTACGCACGCGACGAACGTTGTTTATTAACTTCAATTTGGCCACATTTCTTTACATTTCAGTAAGTTACATTTTGTGGTCTACCGCAGGGAAATGTTGGGATCCCCGCAGGTCTTGACATCGCTTTCAATGCACCATGGAGGCGAGTTTGTTACCCAGTAACGGTGGCCTGCCAATCTAACGGCGTTATAATACCCGTTAGCGGCAAAATTCTTGCGGAAAAACCCTCGCTTTCTGTGATTCCTGTTGTTACACACATTGTACAATTCATTTCTGAATGTTTCATCACAGTGCTTCCGCGTCCATCCAAAACGCACACCCTGATTTAGGAGAATGAAAAACGTATCAGTGAGACGAGCCTTTACCTGGGTAGCAATCGTTTGCGGGAATGCAGTGTCGGAGCAAAGAACAAAGAACTAGAGTCGGTTAGCGACAAAAAGGCGAAAAAATAAAAGACGCCAAACTGCCATTAAAAACAAGATGAATAAGGCAGCAGTGACACAGCCCTTTTAAGAGG